CCACACAAAACTACACACACTCACACACACTCCTACACACACACATGTGCATGCACGTACTCCATACGCATGCAAACCAGTTCAAAAGTCATTTTAAGAGCAAATACTCCTCTCAGGAGGCAGCTGATGCAGGGTCAGATGTCCCCCACCCCCCACCACTCCCTAAATAGCAGGGGAGGCAGAGGGATGGAGAGTGTAAAACCAGGAGGTTGGCCAAGTCCTGAGGTGTCCCTGACTCCTTTGACTTGTCTGACCACTGGCAACCCTTCTTGACAGACTGCACAGCTGGACTTTGTCCCTCTTTCCCTTTTTGTTCTGCACCTACCTCTTGTCTCTGCTCTGTGATGTCCCTCCCTATTCCCTCCACCTGTGGCCTTGTCATTCTTCTAGTCTGCCTTCTACCAGATGTGCTCTTCTAGGTACTGCCTTCAGATCCTGCACACAGCCTGGGTGAAGTCTTACCCTAAGTGTCCTTTGCCCATCATCTGCATTCTCTGTGGTGGGCAGAGACCTTGGCATCCATCTCTGGCCCCATGGATCTGTCTGTATACTCCTCAACTATCACCTGGATTCCTTTTTTTGTCCACATCAAGGTTAGACTCAAATGGCTGCCTCTCTCCTGCCCACATGGGGCCCCAGGCCCCTCCAGGAGCCATCATGCCTTAGGAATGCAATCCCATTTGGATTCCTCAGTGAGCCAAGCATGAGGGAACACAATCAATCTTCACGGGGCCTCATGCACAAGGGAGACAGTCTCCTAGGCTGAGCTGAAGTACTGCCTGAGGCTCAGGAGCAGGCCATCCAGAAGGAGTAAATGGGAAATCAGACCTGGCTTCTGTCTCCACTCTACTCCCATGTATTGTGGGACTTTGGGGTTTCAGGCTTCCCATTGGCAAAATGAGAAACTTAAAGCTGAAGGTTTTTGAATACCTTGCATCCTTTAAACTCTATATATAGGCCAGTAACACACTGCATTCCATCAGCAAACATTGGCCATGACTCTCAACAATAAAAAAGTCAGTTTGAGTACAGTCTATGTGCTAACCACATGTATTACCTCACCAACTCCTTACAGGAATAGAAGGAGGTATTTTTATCCCCATTTTATAAACAAAGAAACTAAGGACCATAGAGTTAATGTGACTTGTCCAGATAACAAGAGGTACAGTAAGATTCAAACCTGGGCCTGTCTTATTCCAAGGCCAGTGCTCAACCTTGAACAGTAACATCCTCCTGGTTGGATTAAGCTAAAATAAACACCAGCACCAGCCAGAAAGTAGAGTTTTCTATTCCCAGGACTAATGAGGGTCAACCCAAGCACATTTTGGCTGCATCTGAGCAAGAGAAGACTGGCCCTTCTTCCAGAAAACCTAGAACTGACCACAATGGGGTCAGTCAGTAAATGGCTGACTCATGGGGTTGGAAGATATCTGAGATTATCCCATGCAACATGTCACTGCCATCAGACACTCAGTCACCTGGGGAGGCAGCCTGCTGGGGAAGAGAGTCCACTGCATGGAGATCTGGATCATGTGGTTTCCAGCTCAGCTCAATTGCAGACCTTCTGTAGGCCCTTGGGCAAGTCATATCTCCTCTACAGACTTCAGTGCCCACCTGTCACTACAGGGTCCTGGCTGCCTTGCAAGCACCAGGCTGTGTTAGGAAGCTCTTATGTACCAGGCACTAGATGAGGTCTTCCCCATGCATTAAGTCCCCTCAGTTCAGGCATGCTCCCGCATTCTGGTACAGAGATTCAACTACAAAGAATGTGATTGCCTAAATAGTGAGCCCAAGGGGGAAGACACCCTGCCACCTGGAGGGGGAGGGCACTGAGCATCTCCTTTCCTCCACTACTGATAGCCTTTCATGCCTTTGCTCCTCTTGCTGTTCCAAGAGTAAAACTGTGACTGGTTTTCTACAGCAATCAGCACTGGGGACTGAATATGGGAACCAGCAATCCCACAGGACAAAGAGGGGAAGCCAGAGGAAGACAAACAGAGGCAAATGGAACACATCACCCCAACCAACCCAGAAGCCCAGGGAGGAAGAATCAGCCTCTTGGTCCTTTGTTGGTCTTATCTCCCTTCCTTGCCTTATTCCCTCCCAGAGCAGCAGATGGGCTCAAGAGGCGAATGAGGAGTGGAGGTCAGGTTCAGGAGGATGTGAAGGAGAACAAGGAGGATTCAGGGCATATGGGAAGCCTATCAGTGAGGGTTGCAGATTGGGAGATGATGTCAGTGGCAGTGACCTGGTCAGAGGAGGAGGCCTATGGGGAGGAAGGACAAGTTAACGGCTTCAGAGAGTGGGGGCATTGCCTCACCAGGAAACAGTTTAGGCATGGATACCTAAGATGGGAACACAGGATCTCCTGGTCCAAGTCACCTTCCTAGGACCCTCTGCCATTACCCCATAATGCCAGCCTACTAAGAGCTATCCTTGACATCCTCCCCACAAGGCAGTGAAATGCAGTAACCAATGCTCCCTCCTCCCCACAGCTAGGCAATAGTTCAAATGGATTGTCTCACTCAGAGAGAAAGAGAACCCAGCCGGTTTCTGCCTCTGCAAGAGAAATATCCAGGGTCTCCCTGGGTTAGGGAAGAGCTAGGGTAAGGCCTCTGCCATGTGTCATGGGATATGAGCTCATCCTCATTACACTGGGCGGGGGCTGGACAGTTACCCAGACTCATCATGTGCACCCAGGGCCTATGAGATCACTCACACAGACATTGAGAGAATCTCCCCCATATACATGCACCTCTGTCCCCTAAATGGGGCAATCTGAGGGCAGAGCATGGGGCCTCTGAGCCCTTAAAATGCTGGGGCTTCTCCAACCCTTCCCCTGCACACACATACTACCTCAGCTCCCTGCTCCACACTTCTCCCCACACCCTAGATTTGCCGAGTGGCCAAAGGTTCACACACACTGTCTTCCCCCCAAAGCTCTCATTATGCTGTGAATCAGAGGGCGGGAGGAAGATCTGGCAGATAGGAGCCCCTAGAAACCCATAAGACCGGTGTGACTTCCTTGAGCAGGGCCTGCTGCCCTGAGACTGACTGTCATGGGCTGGGGAGAGGCAGATTCCTCCCATGTGAGGTCAGCATCTGAGTGCAAGTCATGGGTGCCCATGTGAAGATGCTTGGTTAGTTCTTCATGGGGGAGGAGGAAGGCAGAGGGTGTGAAGAGGGCTTTCCCTACCTCAGAAGATAGCTTATTCCTGTGCTACAGGGAAGGCAATGTGAGGTCCTGGGTGGGTTCAGAGAACAGATTGGGCAAGGGTAGAGGGTAGTATTCCAGAGGAGGGAATGATCCTGTCTTTTCAGACTGAGCCCCAGGCACATGGCAAAATTAACACTATAAATAGATCTATTTGGGGCTGGGAGGAAGGTGCCTATCAGGAAACCATTGGGAATCAGGACACTCCTCAAAATTAGCCCCAGAAATGAGTATTTGCCTACATATTATTCTAAAATTTCCTTTTGATTAGGTTGTAAAGAAGAGAGTTTAAATAAATGTTGTCTACAAAATAAGCTATTACCCAATCATTAAAAAGAAAGGCAAAGTCACAATTTGATTTTGTTCATATACTCGTGCACATGCACAATGCTAAAATGTTTAATAGTGTTATCTCCAGGTGTTGAGATTTACCATTCATTCATTCCTTCAACTAATATTTATAGAGCACTTTGTATATGTTGTGGTTATGATAAATTCTGGGAACATGGTAGAAAACACAGCAGGCAAAACCCCCCCTTATGGAGCTTATTTTCCAATGGAAAGATAAAAAAGAAACAAGTGAACAAATACAAAAAGGGCTCTCAACTGTTATCAGTGCAATGAAGCGAACCAGAAGATAAGCCTCTAGGTAGGGAGTCAAGGAAGGCTCTCCAGCAGACCCCAGCACTTATCGGAAGCCAAAAGATACAGAGAGCCAAGAACCCTGCAGAAGCCAATCGGCCAAGAGAGAGCAGACACCAAGCCCTGAGGTGGGAAACCCTGGACTTGTCCTAGGAACTGAGGAAACCTAGTGAGGGTCTTTGAAACTATAGCAGTGAATTTGGATTCCAGATGAGCTTGGTCACTTTTGGCATTGAAGAGGGATATGCTCCAACCCCCACCCTGAAGAGATGCTTAAGCTATTTTTAAAGAATGATTTGGAGAAAGCAATGGATGATTTGGTTTTGATCTTTATACCTTTATGCACTCTAAGAAAATTATAGAAAAAACAATAAAAAGCAATATTTATTATGTTATATATTTTATATTTAATACCTGTTTCCTTGTGTGAGTGATCCATGCTTTGGAGTATTTATGAGCATGGCTTTCTTGAGAACTTCTGTAACTACAAACTTGGTCATGGGACCTAGGCAGCCCCTAGCTCACAGCAGAAGACCCCTACAAGCCTTCTACTTGACCCTTCTGGTCTAAAGTTTGACCCCCTCAGGACAGGATTTATTTCCATACAGATTAGAGTTATAGGTATGTCCTGAGAGCAGATGGACTGTGGGCTAGTGGCCACAAGAATCCCCAGCAACCCCATCCCTTCATGAGATGTGATTCTTCCCACCCTGATACCACATACCCCAGCCTGAACATCCCATAGAAACACATAACTTTCCATTCCATGCCCTTGGAAATGAATCTCCAGGCCTAATTATCAGGATGACCCTGTTTTACAAGTGAAGAAATTAAGATTCAGAGAAAAGGCTTGGCTGAGGTCACAAAGCAATAGGAAAAGAGGACCAGTTTCCCAAGATGCTTCTCTCACCTCCCCATGCCCAGGTCAGATGAGTATCACAGGAGTGATGGAGCCCCCAGAGTTCTCTGTGTGTCTCCATGAAAAGGGGCCCTGAGGGGTTTTCTGCTTCAGGTGCCTGTGATGAGTCAGAAAGGGGCTGAAGGAAGTTGACCAATTTGAGTGGTGAAACCAGTCCATCTCCTTCAACCAGGGAAGGAGGTTGGGCTGGGGAACAATATAAAGGGCACCCTGGCCCCTGTTCAGCTCAGAACTCCACGAGAGGACTCTGCAGCCATCTCTACTGTGAGTCTGGTAAGTATTAGCTGGGAGGACTGGGGCTGGCACCAGGGGCATCCAGCACACTAGAATGTGGCTAGGGTGGCCAGCCTGGGCAGGTGCATGGATTACTCTCAGGCTGGATTCAACTGGACTACCTGTCTTTCTAGGAGGGCTCAGGTCACTATGCTGAAGGACATATGTCATGGCATGGAAACACAGGAGAGCAATCCCTTCCCCTCCTGTCCCATCTTTCCTTGGTTTGATGTTTTGGAGTGTGTGTGTGTGTGTGTGTGTGTGTGAGAGAGAGAGAGAGAGAGAGAGAGAGAGAGAGAGAGAGACAAAAGAGGTAAGATGGGGATGAGGGGGAGTACAGTCAATTTCTTCCCTGAAACTGTTTGATTTGGGCTGACCATGATTGTTCTTTAGGAGGGCAGGGGTTTGAGGGAAATGCATGTAACTCTTGTTGTATTGCAGAAGGAAGAATGGCAAAATGGGGAAAATCTTTTATTTGGAGAAACCCAGGCAAAGCAGAAGCTGGAAAACCCAACTTAGAAGTACAAGACTTGAAAGAACTGGCTCTGCTTCCCAGCAACCTTCCAGCCCCTCCCCCCACCCCATCCCCTAAGTGCTAGGGCTGCAGCTAAACCTGTGAAGGTCATGAAAGAAACCCCTTGAGTTGAACAAGCCAATCTGCTAATTTTATAGGGGAGAAATCTGAGGCCCAGCAGGATTAAGTGACCTGCTCAGAAACATACAACCTTTCAGTGGGATAACTTAAGCTGACTGTGTGCTCACCTGTTCTGTGAGTAGTCCAGGGTATGTGCCATGGACCACTGATTTTCTAGGACTCAGGAGTCCTCCAGAAGTACCCCTCTTTTCCTAGGGCTTCACCTTTTCCCATCATAACCCCAGAACTCATCTCTCCTTCTTGGTCAGTAGAGGTCAAAAGTAGGGGCAGAGGCAAGGATTAGGCAAGAAATGGCACCCAGTAACTCTGAAGACAGACCTCTTCGTTGGCTCTTTCTAGGAACAAAAGGCTCCCAGGAGGGCCTTTCTTGGCCCTCCCCCCCCCTCGCCTTCACTCTGCTGCATCTGGGGAACATAGCCCAGAGTGGGTAGGAGAGCCCCAACCCAAGGAAAGAGAAGGCATGCTGAGAAACCATGCCCTTCTGCAGATTCTGGGGATTCATCCACTCCCTCTGCCTTCAGTCACCTTTCTGACCCCTTCTGTTTTTCAGGTTGATCTAAAGCAGCTTCCAGGATGTCCCAGCAACACACTCTGCCAGTGACCCTGCCTCCTGCCCTCAATCAGGAGCCCCTCAAGCCTATTTCTCCTCCCATCGATACCCAGCAGGAGCAAATGAAGCAGCCAACTCCACTACCGGCCCTGTGCCAGAAGATGCCCTCCAAGCTCCCAGGGGAGGTCCCTTTGGAGCATGCGGAGAAACACACAACTCTTGTGAAGGGGGTGCCCGAGCAACAATGTGAGCCACAGCAGCAGCAACAGCATCTGGAACAGCAGCAACAGCAGCAGCAACAAGAATCACAGGAGCAGGAACTGTGCCTGGAACAGCCGCAACTGCAGCAGCAACAAGAATCACAGGAGCAGGAACTGTGCCTGGAACAGCAGCAGCAGCAACAACAACAAGAATCACAGGAACAGAAACTGTGCCTGGAACAGCATCTGGAACAGCAGCAACAGGAGTTACAAGAGCAAGAACAGCATCTGGAACAGCAGGAGCAGCAAAAGTCACAGGAGCAGGAACTGCATCTGGAACAGCAGCAGCAGGAGCTACAGGAGCAGGAACGGCATCTGGAACAGCAGCAGCAGCAGCAAGAGTCACAGGAGCAGGAACTGCACTTGGGACAGCATCTGGAACAGCAGAAGGATGAGCCAAAGGAGCAGAAAATACAGCAGCAGCAGCAACAGGAACAGTGTGAGGAACACCAGGAAGCAAAAAATCTGGAGCAGCAGCTGGAGCAGGTGAAAGCACAAAGAGAGCAGCAGCAAAAGAAACAGCTGGAACAGGAGAAGAAGCTCTTGGACCAGCAACTGGATCAAGAGCTAGCAAAGAGAAATGAGCAATTGGAAAAGAAAGAAGAGCAGCTGCTGGAACAGAAGGAGCAGCCACCAGAGCCAGCAGAGCAGCAGGAGGGGCAGGTGGAGTGGCCTGCATTTGTCCCAGCTCCTGACCAGGTCCAAGAGACCCAGCCAGTTCAGCCACTGAAGGGAGAAGTCTTACCCCTCACAGAGCAGCAACAGCAGAAGCAGGAGCTGTATGGCTCCCCAAAACATAAGTAAGCACCCCCAGTATCCCAGAGGCTCTCAGGCCATCCCACACAAGTGAAGAGAGAGCCAGTGGCCTCGCTAATCTCAGGTCCCCAGCCTGGGTGGCCTGCTTCATCTGTGAACCTGTCTGACCCTGTCCTTCTGTTTCTTTGATGGGGCTGGGAGAAGGGGAAGTTATTGTTCAGCAACCACCCCTAATGAACTCGGTCCCAACCTCAGGTGGCCAGAACCTCTGCCTAAGGAGACAGTTACCATACTAACTCTGACTTCGTCCCCAGTATTATAGTTGAATCTGTGAGTGTGTACAATAATACAGAATAAATCCTGGAAGTCCTTGGATCCTGTATTCTCTTTGTCTTTTCTCCTCTGTCTCTCACCATATAAAAACCTGTGTGTGGGTCAATGGTTGCAACAGACTCTCTTGGCCAATTCCCAAAGGAGGAAAGACATCTTTAACCCTGTTCCCCAAACCACCCAATATATTCGCCAGCTTCTTAAAAGGAAACTAAACCAATACCAAACCAAAACAACTTCACTCATGCACCTGAAAGTAAAGCTTGTCAATTGCTGATCATTTGCAGGGACAAGTTAATCTGGTTGGAGGAAGGAGGATCTGTCCACCTCAGTCCAGCACTGCCTTACACCACACATCAGGCCCAATCTTAGCCTCTGGCCAAGCTCAGTCCAGGACCTTGAGCTCCTCTCATCTCCTCACTTTGGGGATGACTCTGGGAAGATATGAGGGAGGTATGGGGGCTTTGGCTGGGTTCTGGTCCCTTCCTGGATGTTCTCTCTGCAGAATAGATTCTAAGAGTCTTATGGACTCTTAAGTCTACTTGGCTAAGGAAAACTTTACAGAAGTGATAGAAGCAGAATTGAGCAAGGTGGGAAGAGGAGAGTCCCAAGACTGGTCCCAATCAATGGCAGTGACAGTTTCACTAAAGCACTAAAGAAAGTAAAGGTTGGGCACACTGGAATCATGAGAGTGCTCAGTAGGTTGGAGAAATACAGATCCAAGTCCACTGTAGCCATTACCCTTCCTGACATTTCTGTAACCTTTACTGGCATCAATCACACCAGGACTTGGGGCTCTCTCCTTCCTGTGACAAACTCTGCCTTTAATGCTTCAAACCACCTGCCTTTAACTATTAACCTTATCATTTCAGGCAGGTTGTCTCAAGCCACCTAAAGCTATTTTACCACAGCCATGAGGATATGCCTGGGGCATCCCTGTTGAGACGTCCACAGGCAGCTAGATTCAATAGACCTGAATGGCACTTAGCATCCCTTACTCCCCGCCCAACCATAGCAACACTTGCCATGTTTCCCCCTTAGGTGTTCTTTCTTGGGCAATGATACCACCATCTGTGCATTCACCTCAGCAGAGACACTATCATTACTCCTCCTTGTCTTCTTCCCCACTCTGTCCCACCGATGACTACTCCTTGTTATCCCTGCTGACACCTCCAAGCATGGACTGAGATCATTCCTCACCTCAACTATTGCAATGGCCTTCAAGCTGGTCACCTTTGCTCCTTGGCTCCCTACACACCCCATATTCTGCCCATCACAGAGAGGACAAGGTGTTCTACTTAAATTTCGCATCTAACCCCATCGCTTCTTCTAACACTTGTCAGCGGCTCTCATTACAGATCTTCCTCAACTTAAAATAGGTTTACATCCCAAAAGATCTATCATAAGTTGGAAATATTGTAAGATGAAAATACATTTAATATACCTAACCCACCAAACATCATAGCATAGCATAGCCTACCATAAACATGCTCAGAGCACTTATATTAGCCTACAGTTGGGTAAAATCATCTAACACAGAGCCTATTTTATAATGAAGCATTGAACATCTCATGCAATTTATTGCATACTGCACCAAAACTGAAAAACAGAATGGTTGTATAGGTACAGAATGGCTATAAGAGTATCAGTTATTCACCCTTGTGACTGTGCAGCTGACAGAGAGCTGGGGCTCCCTGTATCTGCCCAGTATCATGAGGGAGTATCATCCACATATTGCTAGCTCAGGGAAGGATCCAAATTCAAAATTTGAAGTATGGTTTCTACTGAATGCATATTGTTTCACACCATTGCATAGTCAAAAAATTATAAGTCAAACCATAGTAAGTCGGGGACTGACTGTCTGTACTTATAGGATGAGGATGCTCAAGTCCTCCTACAGGACAAAAGTTAAGAGAAGTCTGGGTAGGACTGGTCAGGAATATTGAGACAAAGGAAGAAGTAATCAGAAAAACTCACAGTATGCACTCATTTTCTTTGGAGAGATGGGTTTTGATGTGTGTGTGTGTGTGTGTGTGTTTAAATAGACCTTATTTTTTAGAACAGCTTTGGATTTACAAAAAAGTTGAGAAGCTAATACAGAGAGTTCCCATATACTTCACACCCAATTTCTCATATTATTAACATCTTTACATGGATATGGTTCATTTATTACAATTAACAAAACAATATTGATATATTAACTAAAGTTCGTGATTTATTCTAATTTCCTCAGTTTTAACCTAATGTCTTTTTCTGTTCCAGGATCCCACCTAAGATACTCCACTATAATTAGTCATCTTGTCTCCTAGGCTCCTCATGACTGACAGTGTCTCAGACTTCCATTGTTTTTGGTGATGTTGACCATTTTGAGGGAGTACAGATGAGCTATTTTGTAGACTCTCTCAATTTGGGTTTGTCTGATGTTTCTCTTATGATTAGATTGAAGTTGTGGGTTTTTAGAAGAAAGAGTACAGAGGCAAAGTTCCCCTGTCATTACATTATATGAAAAGTACATACTCCTAACATGATTTATCACTTTGATCTCCTGACTGATGTAGTGTGTGTCAGGTTTTCCCACTGTAAAGTTAAATGCTCCTCAGCCTACCCCTCATCTCCCATCTTTCTATAGTGTGTTGTTTGGAAGGAGGTCACCGTGTGAAATGGGGAGTAATCTCCCTGTCATTAAGGGTGAAGTATCAAAATAAATTATCTGGATTTTTTTCTGTATAGGAAATTCATCTCTTCCTTCTCACTATTTGTTTATTTGTTTATATGTTTAAACACTTATTTATATCAGTGTGGATTCATGAATATTTATTTTATATTTTGGGCTATAATCCAATAGTTATTTATTTTTTATTATGGTAAAACACACATAATATAAAAATTACTATCTTAATAATTATACAGTTCAATAGTATCGAGAACATTTATTTTGTTGTGCAACTGCCCGTCTCCAAAACTCTTTCATCTTGCAAAACCGAAACTCTGTACCATTGCAACAATGGCAACCACCATTCTCCTTTCTTGATTTCTTTTTGTCTTTTTTTGGGAGGAGGAGGGGCAAAGGGTTAACCCATCCTTCCAGTACCCCCCCCTCCGGCAACCCTCAGTTGGTTTCCTATAAGAGTCTCTCAACTTTAGGGAGGGTATGTGCTATGGTGAGCACTGTGAATTGTGTAAGACTGATGAATCACAGACCTGTACCTCTGAAACAAATAATACATTATATGTTAAAAAAAAAAAAAAGAAAAAAAAAGAAGATAGTAGGAAGGGAAAAAATGAAGGAGGGGAAATCGGAGGAGGAGACGAACCATGAGAGACTATGGACTCTGAAAAAAATAAAAAAAGAGTCTTTATGATTTGTCTCCCTCTCTGATTTCATCTTGTTTTATTTTTCTCTCCTTCCTCTATGTGCCTCTGTTTTGTTTCTTAAATTGCACATATGAGTGAAATCATATGATAATTGTCTTTCTCTGATTGACTTTATTTGCTCAGCATAACACCCTCTAGCTCCAACCACGTCATTGCAAATGGCAAGATTTCATTTTTTGATGGCTGAGTATTATGCCGTTGTGTATATTTCTTCTTTATCCATTCATCTGTTGATGGACATCTAAGCTCTTTCCACAGTTTGGCTATTGTGGACATTGCTGCTATAAACATTGGGGTGAAAGTGCCCCTTCGGATCACTACATTTGTATCTTTGGGGTAAATATCTAGTAGTGCAGTTGCTGGGTCCTAGGATAGCTCTATCTCTTGAGGAACCTCCATACTGTTTTCCAGAGTGGCTGCACCAGCTTGCATTCCCACCAGCAGTGTAAGAGGGTTCCCCTTTCTCCACAGCCTCACCAACACCTGTCATTTCCTGACTTGTTAATTTTAGCCATCCTGACAGGTGTGAGGTGGTATCTCATTGTGGTTTTGGTTTGTATTTCCCTGATGCTGAGTGATGTTGAACATTTTTTCATTTGTCTATTGGCTATTTGGATGTCTTCTTTGCAGAAATGTCTGTTTGTCTTCTGCCCATTCTTGACTGGATTATTTGTTCTTTGGGTGTTGAGTTCGATAAGTTCTTTATAGATTTTGGATACTAACCCTTTATCTGACAAAACATTTGCAAAAATCTGGGAGAGAGAGAATCTTAAGCAGGCTCCATGCCCAGCACAGAGCCTGATGCAGGGCTCAATCTCACAATCCTGAGATCATGACCTGAGCTGAAATCAAGAGTCAGATTGAGCCACCCAGTTGCCCCATGACTTCTTTTTGTCTTTTCAAAAAATCTTTCCTTTCCCCTCAAATGCCAGCCTCTGGTAATCACCATTCTACTCTCTAAGTTCAGCTTTTTTGGTCATGAATAAGTAACTATGTATTAAGTTAGATAATATACATATTATCATGCATCACATTATATATCACTAAATATGATATGATGTAATATAATAAATTAATATAATATAAATGTATATCACATTTTTTTATCCATTCATCTGTTGACATTTAGATTGTTTCCATATTGTGGTCATTGTGAATAATGCTGCAGCGAACATGGTAGTGCAGATGTCTTTTCAGGTACTGATTTCATTTCCTTTGAGTATATACACAGAAATAGGATTGCTGGACCATATGGTAGTTTTATTTTTAATTTTTTGAAGGCCCTCCATATTATTTTCCATAAAGGCTGTATCAGTTCACATTTCTACCAAAAGTGTACAGTGGTTCCCTTTTCTCCACATCCTTGCCAACACTCGTTATCTTTTGCCTTTTTTTAATAGCTATTCTAATGGGTGTGAGGTGATATCTCATCAAGTTTTCTTTTTTCTTTTAATTTATTTTTTTGTTTGTTTTATTTTTTTAATTTAAATCTTAGTTAACATATAGTGTAATATTGGTTTCAGGAGTTGAAATTAGTGATTCATCACTTACATATAACACCAGTGCTCATCAAAACAAGTGCCCTCCTTAGTACCCATCACCGATTTAGCCCATTCCCCACTCACCTCCCTCCATCAACCCTCAGTTTGTTCTCTATCATTAAGAGT